ACAGATCGATAGGAGAGACAGGTTGACAAGTGGGGGTTTCAGAAAATAGGGGGACCCTAATATAGTAGTACCCTAAATACTAATAGGATCCCTATTATAAGGACCCCAAAATAAGGTACCCTAATTTTCTGAAGCTCCCAAGTAAACAGGCAGGCAGGCAGGCAGGTAGGTAGGAGGCCTCGGTCGGTCGGCCGGTAGGTCGGGTAGGTCGGCAGGTCGGTAGGTAGATCGGTGGTTCGGTGGCTCAGTCGATCGGTAGGTCGGTCGGTAGGTAGGTAGATAGGTAGACGGCAACAAAAGAGAAAGAGAGAGAGAGAGAGACAGAGAAGGACAGAAAGAGGTAGATAGATAGATAGATAGATAGATAGATAGATAGGTAGATAGATACACAGACAGAACAGCTAGAAATGGGTAGATCATTGCTAACTACATAGATGGATAGATAGGGCTAAGAGAGGAGAACAAGAAGCAGTCAGAACCGGCAGTGCTTCCCACAACTGAAACACCAATTTTGGCCGCTCAAGCCACTGACATCAAGACCTCTCACCTCAACCCTATGGGCCCCATCTCCACAAAACCAGTGGCAAGACCCCCGGGCGTCAGGCCACGAAGCGCTCGAAAGCGGTACGCTGGCGGACCTTCACCAAGCTCAGGGCGGAGAGGGGTTTCAGAGATGCAGATGGCCTTTGATCAAGGAAGATCCCCTAAACTTCATAGGCCCAGGGCCACTTTGATGCAGGGTAATTGGCTGCTCCGGCGAGTTGACTTGCTAGAATTCCGCACGAGCCCTCGCAGCTTTGTCGGAGGAAAGAACGCTTGTAACATCAGGGTTAGTCATGCCTCACTTGAAGTAGCTCCTGCTTGCTCAGGGCTTGCAGTCCCTCTGGGCTCTCGGCCCCCGTAAGCCCGAAACCACCTAAAACACCAAGTCTGAGCCCTCTAGAGGTTTGGGTTTCTGGGTCTAGGATGAGTTCGTCTGCTTCTTCTTATGGCTGCTGAATTGAGTTCAGGATATCTCATGGGCTCAGAGAGATTGGGGGCCGGAGGCATGGGAATCTTTGAAAGCTTTGGACTTCAGGTTTGCGGCGTAGGCTTCGACGAGCCCAGTGTCGGTCCTTGACAGTTCACTGCTGAAGATCTACTATGAAAACCTGCGGTGTAGGTTTGGCTAGGGTTTAGGCTTCGGTAACTTTAGGATCTTCTGCGGTAGCAGTGCTTCGACTTTGCGGCTGTAGCTTTGAGGCTTTGAGACTATAGGGCTTCCTCGAGTATCCCCCACGACCCACAGCGAAAAAACCCTGTGGCACGACTGCAAAGCTTCTGGGAAGGGTTCCGGGCTGATGATGCTGCAAACACAGGTGGGTTTAGGAGTTTAGGGTTTGTGAGTCAGGGATTCCACAGTTTGGAGCTATGGGACGAAAGGGCATAGCCTCTGGGAAGGGTCCGTGGTTTAGTGACGAACTTTAGTCATGGCCGGTCTTGAACACGAAACCAAAAGACGCTCCCCGCACCTGCATCAGCCCCTTGCCAAGCTTCTCAATGTCCTGCTTCTGTGCTTGGCCTCTCGCATCGGGGGTTTCAGGGCTAAGGCTTTGGTAGGGTCTGCAAAGTCTCGGGGTTTCGCATTCAGGGCTCTGGGAAATCGGCAGTAAAAGATTAGGGGGCTCATCTTGCATCGGCCAACGACCCCTGAACCACATCCAGACGGCAAGTCTGAAATCCAAAACAGGTCTTGCCTATGAAACCTTCAGCCCAGACGCCACGGGCAGAGTCTTTTTAGAAACCCGGGCGTGTGATCTGCAAGCGCATTTACCCCACAACCGCCAGCCCCAAGAATAACCTTTTAAATGGGACGTCTCCAAACTCCAAGCCTCAAGCTCTGAAGCGACAAACCGCAACCGATTCCAACCTGGCCTAAGCCGCGCTGGACGAACCTCCGGAATTGCGGGTGAGGTCAGTGCTCCGGGAGTAGAGCAAGGGGCCTGTATAGTTAGAGTGCCACTGTAAGTAGGAAGAAACGCATGCCCGGTATTCGATTGATATCCATCAAAAACCTCTTGCATACCCTCAAAACCCTGACCCGACATCCATCCAATGTGTCACCTACATCTACGACCGCAGCCAACGTGTGCAGATAGGGATCTTAGTAGGAAGAAGGCTGAAGAACGCCTCCATGATGTCGAATCCCCAAACCCTCACGGCCCTGAATCCTTACTCAGATCCTAAACCCTGGACCCCCATACCCATACACCTTGCTGCAGACCCTTAAGCCCTGGAACACCTTCCGCAAAAGCTGAACCCAAAAACCCTAAACCCTAAACCCTAAACCCTATACCCTAAACCCTAAACCCTAAGCCCTAAACCAAAAACCCTACTGCAACAGCTCTGAAAACGCCCAGCTTTGACTGCCCAGATCGCAACGCCCGAGCCCTAGGCCCCAAGACCCCGAGGATCCTACTGTAAGAGCAACAAAGACAGCAAAACTAAGCCTATTCCGGTTTAGGGTTTAGGGTTTAGGGTTTAGGGTTTAGGGTTTAGGGTTTAGGGTTCAGGGTTCAGGGTTCAAACATCTTAAAAGTCAGTAACCATACAGTAAACAGATGCCCGACATGACTGGGAAAACCTACATTTTCAAACACAACACACAAAGATTGTCGGCCCTGTAGAAGCCCTGTGCCCGAGTCTCCGTGCCAGCTGTTGGAAAGCAGTTCTTGAGCCGTCGGCCTTGGGACCAATTTTGCGGGCAAACCCAGACCCGGTTTTGGGCTTGGGGCTTCGGGTTGAGGCGCATGACATAACCGTATGTATGTCTATCTATCTATCTATCTATCTATCTATCTATGTATGTATGTATGTATGTATGTATGTATGTCTGTGCACATACACACACACACACTAACTAACTAACTAACTAACTAACTAACTAACTAACTAACTAACTAACTAACTAACTAACTAACTAACTAACTAACTAACTAACTAACTAACTAACTAACTAACTAACTAACTAACTAACTATATATATATATATATATGGCATGATATGGTATGGTCTGTGCGACCGACGGTGATAACAGTCTCTCGGTGGTTCAGGGCTCAGGGCTTCGGGCCTTGATGGTTAGAGCAGGATTTGGTGCCGAGTGTAATTTGAAGCATCTGGGGACGATCAGGAGATGGCGGATTGTTTTGGCGAGTTAATCAGACCTCCCTTGGGCTTGGGAGTTTTACATTGCCAGCTGGTCTAGTCACATCTAGTCTTTACGAAAGGTTGAAGGGCCTGGAAACATAACCCGAAACTTCCCTGAACCAAAACACAAAACACTCGACTGCCCGAAGAAGCTTCTAGAGGGCATTCATAGGGCTAAAGATAGGAACCCTAAACCCTAAACCCCGAAGAAGCTTGCAGAGGGCATTCATAGGGCTAAAGATCGGAGCCTTAAAGCCTAAACCCTGCACTCCACCAGCGAATTTGGAGATCCAGAGCCGCCAACGTCAACCTGATGTAGGGGCCTTAGTAATTAGAATAGGGTTTTGGGATAGACTATACTATACACTAATTATAACAAGGAACTCCCCAAAATACTATAGGTAATTCTTAAGCACCCTATACACTAATTATAACAAGGAACCCACCAAAATAGTATAGGTCACTAGTAAGGCCCCCGATATTCATCCCCGCAAATGCTCTGAGAAGCTGAGGACAGAACCTTTCAGCTTCGTTCTTGCCTCGGTGATCTGATTAGATGGCTTAGGGTTTAGGGTTGAGGGTTTAGGGTTTACGGTTTAGGGTTTAGGGTTGAGGGTTTAGGGCCTAGGGTTGAGGGTTTAGGGTTTGTCTCATGAGAGACCCGATTGCTTGTGCTTTGGGGGGGGGTCTGCGAGGGGTTTGGGTCTACGGGGGAGCTTGGGGTCTGGGCTCACAATGTTGGGAGGCTTTGGGAACAAGGCGTAGTTTAGTAGCACGGCCGATATTATAATTATCGCCACTGCTTTGATGCAAACATGTGCTTCTTCAAGAGCGCGTCAGCTGGGCCTTTTGAGGACCCGGCCTTGCTGCTTTGGGGTGGATGTCTGAAGGATGTCTCCGAAGTCCCTAAACCCCAAATCCCCGAAACCTGAACCTAGTCCTGAAGCCAAACCCCAAGCCACTAAATCCTGAATCCTAACCCTAAGCCCCTGAACGCGAGTCTCCGGCACAGCATGTAGAAGCAAATGTACTGCGCCTCTGTGCCGAAGATCCGTGTGGCTTCTTAGGGAATTGGGGAGAAGCTCGAGGATCCCTGTATCGAGGCTCTTGTAGGTATCGCTATAGGGGGCTGCAGGAAGGGGGCTTAGGGTGTAGGGTTCAAATCCTTGGTCCTCTCTATGTAGAGGGGCGGTTGCTGGCAGGTTGGAAAGGGGGCCTGTGGGGCTTGATAAGCTGTTCGTAGGGTGTGTGATGCAGTTGCCAATGTCGTCTTGCCGCAGTTGGTAGCAAGGCCCTGGAGCTTGACATCACGGTGAAACTCGAGGGAGCCGAACCTTCAATCAGAAGACCGTGCATACTGGACACCTTCCAAGCCCTGAGAGCGATTGAGTGATCCTACTCGCCTGCACAAACCGAAGGCCCCAAGCACTAATATGAAGTTCCTATCCTAAAGACTAAACACCCCACAACCTCCTCATCCTCATCAAATCCGCAGAACCCTGCAGCCCAAAGCCAAACATGGAATTCTCATGTAGAAACGAAATCCCAAGAATCAAAAGAAACCCGCACAGCCTTGCCTCAGAACTTGCACCACCGATGCGGGACCAGTCAGGCCTGGGCTCTTCTGCGTCTCTTGGGGTCTTGGGTTTCATTCCATTGGGGGGGGAGGGGGTGTGTGCAATGGCAACAAAAACAACCCGTTAATGTCCTTTGTGCTCCTGCATCAGGAACGGTGTATGAAGTGCCTATATCTCACTTGTTGCCAAAACTGGAGCAATACAGCCAAGAAATCGAGCTCGAGGTGATGCGTGACTCACATAGCGCCCCTCGCGGTTTGAGCTGCCTGCTCCTTCCTCCACTCCTCTTCGTAAGCACGGCGCTGCATCGCCCAACGTGTCCAATCGATGTCATTCACAGACCGGTCCAAGGAGCTGTTCGTCCGTTTTGGATCCAGGACATTTTGACACCACTCCGCAACACCTCTTGCATCCAGGATGTGATCCTCCAGATCTGGTGCCACTGATTTGATGGCTTCCCGGCTGCGGCTTAGGTCTGCGAAGCGAACCAGCACGTTGGAAAACCTTCCTGAGAAGTAGCGGGCCAAGAAACTCTCCATCTTGGTGCCACGGTACTGACTCGTTCGTTTTTTCTCATATTCATCCTTAAGGTTTGATAGAAAACTGTGCTTGATGTCCATGAGCTCGTCGACAGAAAGTTCGGTGCCGTCCGCTTGCCTCCTCCTGTCGATCACTTGGTTCAGTAAGATGAGGATGTGAGGCTTCTGGCTGGAAGCCTGGTCCAAAGTTACGAGCAGGTTCCTGAGATCGTCCTGCTGCTCCGGCCCTTGGAAGGTGCGTATGTAGACATACGCTTTGGCTGTGCACGTTCCGGCTTCGAACTTTCGCATGAGGTCTTTCTGAGCAGCATCAAGGCCTGGGGTGTCAATGACAAAGGCACCCTCTCCCCAAACCCGGGCCTGCACCTGTGTAGTGCGGCTTTCAATGTTGTAACCTGCTCCATGGGCAACCTCTGGACTCATCAGCAGCTGCGAGACTAGAGTAGTCTTGCCACCATTGGCTGGACCAGAAATGAAAACCATTGGGACACTGGCAACACCCTTGCTGTCATGAATGATCTTGATAGCATCCAAGGTGCTGTCAATCTTCTTCAAAGCCGAGGGCCGCAGATCTGCAAAGCGGCCTTTCCAAACTGACCTTTTCTCGCGCTTTGCCGCTTCCACGCGCCCTAGCAGTATCTTCTCCTTTGCAAACTCTGTCGCAACTAGGAGCTCAGGACTTTCTTTTATCGTCAAGCCTGACTCCTCAAGATACACGTCCAGCATCGTGTTGTATTGGCCCGGCAGCCGATCATCTGACAGCATGTAGTGGATACCAGCTGTGGCGGAAATAGAGCAAGTTGCTGAGAGATAGCCTCCGGTGGATGGAAAAATAGCTGGAACCAACAGGCTGAGGCCGCCGGACCACCACATGCTCAGGCCAATAGCAGCAAACCCGGCCACGGTAAAGATGCCTCTTGCCCACCATTTACTTGTGCTGGCTAGCTGCAAGCCACCCGGGGGACAGATCATGTCATGAACCTCGGCAATCATTGCATGGGCATCCTCGCCTTCAGCAATCAGGCACAGGGCCTCAGCTGGGTCGCGTTTCGCCTTCATGAGGTGCTGTGCAAGTCCAAAGGAGCCTCCAGGCCCGAGGGAATCCAACTGGCAGACCAATTCCATGAGTTTCGTGTTGCCCAAATAGTGCTCCGCGAGAAAAGCCAGCTTCATCATGCGCCGGATTAGCTTTTTGTCAAAACACAACTCCTCATCGGCAGCAACGGCCGTCAGTGCAGCTGTATCAGTGACGAAATCATGAGCGTGCAAGTCGTAGTCGATGCTCTGCCCCACATCAGGTCGGAAGCGGAGTCTCTTGCTTAGCTTCAGCTTGTCCGCCTGTTGAACTCCTTCCTGATGGAGCTTGAGGGCTGTATCTGTCTGGAGCAACATTGATGTAGCGGTGGCAGCTACGTACTGGCCATCACAATCCAACTCGATTCCAGCCTTTCCCAGGAGATCGAGGTTCTTGCCGACAACTCCATACACAACCGACTGCCCCTCCTCGTCAAGGCATACCTTGACACAGTGCACCTGAACCGTGAGATCGGGGTTGGTTCCAGAGGTTCCAGAACCTTCCGACAAGAATGAGCCAAGCCGTTCCAGAGCCGGTGCGACACCAACATCAAGAAAGTCGGCCACGGCCGGTGCGACATCAACATCAAGAAAGTCGGCCACGGCCCGGAGAACGACTTGGTAGGAATCGATGTCATGCCTGCGAATGCTGTCGCTTGTGAAACCACTCAAGCTGACCCGGTCGTTCAGAAGTTTGGCTGGTCCCAAATGCCTGAGGACATCCAAGCCCTCTGACCAAGAGCATTCGTATTGGTCATCATGAGACGACTCAATGAAAATGTAGACGCCGATTGACCTGTAAACGTCAACCATCTTAGCCAGGCGTCTGGAAGCCGGATGCTCAATCAACTGCTTCAAGCGCGAGCTTAGTGCATCAGTCATGAAAAATTTCGTCAGCAGCGTCACGACCCCCTCAGAACCCATGAGGCAGCTTACGACTTGCTTGACGATGTCGGCAGCATCACCAAGCAGCTCTGAACCTGAGCGGCAAAGCTCAGCTAGGCTTTCCGTCAAGTTGAGCAGTCGAGGCACAGGGTCGTCGAGGTTGACAATGTTCACAAACGAATCAGTCCATCCCTGCCGCGCCACGTCCTTTGCCACCTGCTCACATACGCACAGAGGTGCTCCAAACACAACGGAGCAGATCCGGATTTCGAGCCTTGCAAACTCTTCCAAGCGCTTCGCCGAAAGGCAGCTGAGATGGGAAACAGCACCCCCTAAGGAGTGCCCCGTAAAAATGATGGCGTCACATCCAAAGTGTTCGACCATTCTGTGAATGAACTGGAACTTTAGACAGCGGCATCGCTCGAGGAATCCACCGTGCACCTTGCCACCTAGCTTCGGTTCAGACACAGGGGAGAGGCTCAGATTTGTGGTCCGATCTGGCCCTGTGTGCGTGCCAGCAAAGGCAACAAATAAGCATAGCCTGCCTGAAGGATTCACAACACAGCAAATGTACTTCTGCGATGTTTCTGGGCATTGCGCGTGCAGGAAAAGCAGGGGCTTATGTCGCTCCTTGAAGCGGGCAATGGCATCTGTGTCCTCGCCTGCAGGCGTGTACACAAAGCTTGACAAAGAATTGCACACCATGGTCTCTTGGTGGTCTGCGGGCAGCGAAGGCTTCTTCAGGATGGCGATCAGGTTATCCCGGTGCTCTGTTGGGATTTCCAAATCAGCCAATCCAAAATCACGGCCATTGCGTCTGCGGGAAAGATGCGCCTTTACTAAATCTTTCCGGCTTTGAATGCCGCATTCCTTAAGCCTCTTGAGAGACCGTTCGTGCAAGTCCTCTGGTGTCCCTGCCTTGGAAAGCATCTCCAAGTACCATTCGAAGCCATGTGTGGGGTGCGGCATGGCGGCAGCCGCTACGTCTGCTGCAAGCTGTGCCACAGCCCAATGCTATCTGCCGGCAAGGGTGTGGATCTTTGGCAATTTGGTACAGGACAGCACCACGAGATCACTACAGTTTCTGTCCGCTTACTTTTGTTGGTACGAAGCCTGTAACATTCATGATCTCACACGAACATCTCATCTTGCCGAAATATTGAACTGCTGGAGGCTAACACTTCTTCACTGTACATCATGAGTACAGCACCATGCTTAGCAGACAAGGCGCCCCCTCCAGGCAGGCAGTATGTCTTGAGGCTGCGGCTGCTTCTGAACCAGCTCTTTGAAATCCTGGCGCAGGGCTTCAGGGCTCAGGGATGAGACGTTTCGAGTCCGAGTTCTCGAGCTGCAGTTCGTATGCTGCTGTATTTGGAGGCCAGTACAATTAGAACATGACAGAGAAAGGAGGAAGGCTTTCAAGTCTTCGCCACCCCCTCCTCCAGGCGCTTGGCCATGAAGGGGTAGGTTCCAGAGAGCATGAAGAAGAGCATCACACCCGCGGACCTTGGTCTAAAAACACCATTAAACAACCCAATGAAATCCTTACCATTTAAGGGCTCGCAAATGGGTCTAGAGGGGCAAGGCTTTGACTTTGAGCTCTCGGTGGACGGTTTTCGGATTCCAGCGGTTGGGATTAAGGATGAGGATCGTGAAGTCTTGGAAGTGGAGGTTTTGAATCAAACGATTTTCGAGGGCCTAAGTCTGTTTCGCTTGCAAGGCTTGCACACTGTGGTGCCTGCTCGGAGGGATGTTGAGACGGCTTTCTTTGCAATGCTTTGGTGCATTCATGTCGGCACTGGCAATGCCTCGCTAGTATGGGGACGAATACTGAACCTGCTACTGCTACGACGACGACCTCGTGGTCCTAGTGCGCGTAGCCAGGATTCTGGCAGGATGCTAGTGCGAAGAGCACTGCAGATTTCCATCTCGCTGGGATTTGAGTTGTGTTGCGGATTAGTGGCAAGCACCGCATAATCTGATCATGCTATAGACGACGAGTGCGACACCTACGGGTGGTGTTGCTGCTGTTGCTACTCCTTGTCCTGCTCCTAGTGTTGCTCCTAGTCCTGCTCCTACTCCTAGTCCGATAGTCCTACTCCAACCACTACCACCACCAGCGACTACGACTACGACTAGCACCACCACCACGACTACTAGTGCGACGCCCGTCGCGGAGCATGTTCATCATCAGCATCTTGATCGACATGGACGCTTTGTTCTCGAGCGCACTAGACCCTGGACGTCAACAGGTTTTGGGCATGGATGCTCTGCTCCAAAACACGCTTGACCATTTCACTAGGTCTCAAACGCACCAGACCATGGACGCCACTAGATTGTGGGCATGGATGCTTTGTTCACAAACGCACTAGAGGGTTTGGGCATGGACCTGGATGCTCTGTTCTCAAGCGCTCAGACCACCAGCATTAGACAAACAAAGCTCCATTCTGATCGCTACTTATTGGGCACGAAAATCCAGACCTCAAAAACCAGCCAAAAAACAAGAACATCTCACAGACGAGCCGGCATTTCTGACAACACGAAGTCTGAAAAATGATAGGTTTTGGCGTCCACCACGGGGAAGCCCTTCTTCGACTGCTACTAGTGCTGTTGTTATTACTACTGCCAGTGCCGCTGCTCTTTCTACTACAATTAGTATTACTACTACTACGACCACCACTACCACTCTCAGGTTCCGTCATGCTCTACCTAGTTTCCGATAGTCTCCATGCATCACTACATACACACACAAATGCACAAACATGGTAATCACGACATACATACATGTACATATACATAGAGAAAACTCTGAAAAAAACACTTGTGCAGGACGCCGAGGACAAGCCCCGCACCAAATGTCGCAGCTCTTGCTGAAATTCCCCGCCCACACCTGCATCGGGTCTCCAAAGGTTTAGGGTTCAAGCATTGTTTAGTTTCCTCTAGGGGTATGGGGCAACGGGACGTGGCCATTAAGGGGCCCATGTTCGGAGGGGTTGCTTCTAATTGCTTCAGCAGTCATGATTCTGGGATGATGGAGCCTTCAGCCCTCAACACGGGTAATTGTACACATTACGCACCAAGGCAGCCGAAACCAATCAACTCTCGACGCCGCAAATGCCCAACATGAAATACCGCCCGCTCCCCATGACCTCCGGGGACATGAAAGGCGGTGTGCCGGCGATCTCGGTGCCGCGACCCTCGGAAGAGAGCCTCGTGAGGTTGAAGGCTTTTAAAGCTGGAGACTTTTTAAACTTCTATGGAAATTTAAAGGGCTCCTACGGGCGCAATACTGCGTTCATCATAAGCTTAGTCGAGGACCTGCAAACCCACACATAAAGATACGTGTGGGTTTGGTTTCGAAAAGGTTCCCCGCACCGTGAGCTTGTTGATGTAGATGATGTAGTTGTGTGCTGGAAGTACTCTGGCTCCAATCTCAGCTGTCCCGCTATCCCTGAGCAACACACTGCTCTGGATTTTTGACTCGAGATGTTCTAGATGTCAACGCACGCAACCACCACTGAAAAATGGAGATCTTTTGTGGAGTCTGTTGTGGCTGACTGCCAAGTGTTTAATAAAAGACAGCAGCTAGATTCTCGTAGTGCATTTTGGGGTTCACGGCTTGTGGTGTACGTAGGCTATTTGCGGTGCTATTGGAGCCAAGTAAATAGCAGGAAGCCTTCAACGAATGCTCGAGGCACGGACCCTGGCCGCAAACAAAAGCTACGGTAGGCTCAAATACCTACAGGTACATGCCTATACAAGTCTTGCAGAGATCCTGCCCAAATATTAGACCAAGGTCTTAAAGCTTGGGCTTGTGGTTGGTTCAGGTTTGGCTTCTGTCCAGACATTCTGTGGGGTTGGTGTTTCGGCTGTTTGTACAGTACTGTAGTTTTTATGGTTTAGGGTTTAGGGATTAAGTAAGTAGTTTAGCCGTTATATAAAGGTCCTCAGATTCTCATTCATAGCACCGGGTTTCGGATTACGCCGGCTGCTGATGCACTCAAGCACCTTTTGGCATCGGCAGCTCGCAGAGGTCAGACAAATGGCAGCCAGACATCCTAAAGTGGCTTCATGAACCCCTTACCCTATCTAGTCCTCACACCTTTTCAGATCTTGGATTTTGGTAATGCAGATCCCTGGTTGATGCACTCCTCATCGATCCAACAATTAAACAAGAGTCCTTCGGCCTTAAGGAACCACACGGAAGAACACACTCTGCAGAATCCGAGGGTCCCCTTACAGTCCCCATATAGTCATATAGTTGTACTATAATACATAACATGCCCAAAGCCTTCTTCAGAGTGCTCAGGTCCCTCTATGAGGGCATCAGGGTCCTTGCTGCAAGAACTCAGAGGCTGGACTCCACCCAGGGCAGCAGCACCACGTTGCCGGCAGCGCCGCCGGCACTGGGCTGCATCACCTGCATGGGATGAAGGGTTCGGGCGGAAAGAGTTCAGATGGCGGCCGTTGTGGATCTAGGCGTTGGGTGTTTGGTGCTGATGGTTGGGGGTCTACAGGTTAGGGTCTGTGGTTGGGAACAGTGCCCTTTGAAAAGGGTGTGAACCCAAGTGGCTGGTGCGAATCTGTGATCTGGCAAGGGATTTCGATGTAGAGCAAGATGCTTACGCTACTTCATACCCCCCGACTCCAGAACTTTACGAACCCTTAGCAAGCACACCGAAGCTGGAGGTCCTGGCGCCTCTGTGTGGGCCGTCCCGGCATCGCTGAGGGGAAGCTGCATGCTGACCACCGGGGCCTGGGTGAAAGCCAGCTCTGAGGCGTCAGGGTTTGCATTTTAAGTTAGAGATGTCGGGTTCAGAGTTAAGGGGTCTGGGCGTCTCGTAGAACATGGCTGAGGCCCTTCTCGTTTTGAAGCATGGTCTCTGCAGTTATGATTGGATTGAGGGTTTATGCAGCCAAACTAATTAGTGTAGAGGGAGCTCTGAATAAGAGCTTGTACAGCTCTTCCTCTCCTCCGCCGAACCCCAAACCGAAAGCCAGCTCCAGAACATCCCCGAACCTTCTGATCCCAAAGCCGAAAAACCCTAGTCAATCCTTCCCTGAAGCTTTCGGCGCAGCGAGATGCCAGGTTTCCGCCGGCCATGAGGTCATAAAGCGATCGGTGAATCTCCTCGGAGATTTGGGTGGGGTTGTGTTTGCAATTCTCCCGACATGCCCTAAACCCTTTACAGCCTAAATCCTCACAATGCTGCAACCCCCACCATCGAACACTAATTCACGCCTAACCTTAAAACCTGAAAAACCCGCCTTCGAGCCAATTTGCTTGCTGGAAACCCAAGCGGCACTCAAAAGCCCTCGTTCAGGCCAAGGGTCCGCGTGCTCGTCGGGCGTGGCAGATCCCAGAAACACACCCCGAATGTCAATCTCACTGGGCCTCAGGAATTCGAAAGAATTGTTCGAGTACCTTTCGGGGTCAAAGTTCGTCGGGTCGTGCTGAGTTTGGGGTTCCGGGTCTCGGGTGTTTACGGTGTAAAGTGTCAATCTTACACAGCCTCATTGAAGGTACAGTGCTTTGTGAGGCGTAGCATGCTCAGAATCTGCAGAGCTTGTAAGATTGATGGCGAACGGCCTTGGTGTACATGTCATTGACTTGAAGCAAACCTTGCCCAAGGCCCTTACAAGCCCGAAACCCAACAGAGTCCGTAGAACCTTTCCTCCTGGGATCCAGGCATCAGCGCGCGCGGGTTGATGCTCGTGGCTTCAGCTTTGGATCCAACGATGCCTTGCGGATGTAGGTCTGAGGTTTCGGGGTTCCGAGCTCAGACTTCAGGACAGCCTTATGAACAAGCTGTCATTGGTACCGGAGCCATAGTCTTTATAAACCAAAAACCCAAAACATCCTCCTTAAACTCCTGAGCTGCGGGTCCAAAGAGGATGGAGATGCTAAGCCCAATCTTTCGGGCAAACCAAACCCTTCACTTTCGTTTGGCTTGGTGCTTGTGCTCCGCTTCGGCTGTTGTTTCCATGGCTAGCGTGTAAGGCATCCAGGTTCGATGAATCTAGAACCTCCCCTTGCACGCCACGGCAAGGCAGGGGTTAGCAGAAGATGCACGGATAGGTTCGGAAATTGACGACACTAGTCAGCAGGATCCTGTTGTTGTCAAAAGGACGGACCGGTGGAAAGGAGTTAGTTACGTAAACACCAACAGGCATTTTGTTTGTTCCATGTCTGAAAGGAGTCCTTTGGTCAAGGCTCGGCCTTTGGATGATTGTCGGGCTCTAGCACTACCATGAGACGTTCCCCTGTCCGACACAAGACTATCTCTATCAAAAGAAGCAGAGCAAACAAGGGGCCTCAAAGGCATTGAAAGCCACCAAAAACCCGACAAAAAACACCCACACACATGTTGAAAGTCAAAGCCCTCAGCTACAGTGACTATAGTGGCCGGGAAGCAAATACACGACCTTCGGCCGGCGAGCGACAGATCCGCAGCGAGATTGGCATGTGCCGCCATCTCCTTGGGCGGATCACAGATGTGCTATTTTCGAGGATTCGGGGACTTTCTTCCTGCCTTCAAACATGTTTCTATGAAGGCGCAGAAATACGGATCTTTTCGTCCTAACTGGTCGCACGTATGTAAAAGGCCGCGTGGGTTTTCGCAAGCAGCAGATTATTCGAATGTGTTTTTAACCCACGCCTGCCAGCAAATG